CTGCCAACGGCAACGTCCGCATCGCCATGGAGCGCTATAACCAGAGCGGGGGTGAGGGGCCGGCCGGGCCGTGCGCTCCCAGGGGCCGTGGGGTCTTCGGGGGGGGGCGGGCGTGGGGGCAGTGCAGCATGGAAACAGCACGTGCATTCACACACAGAGACACGCACAGACACAAAACACACGTGCAAACACAATACAGACAGACACACAAAGGGTCTGTCTACACTGGCACCCTCTTGAGAGAGGGATGCAAACGAAGACATTTGAAATGGCAAATGAAGCCGGGATTGAAATATCCCGCACTTCATTTGCGTATTCGCGTTCTGGCGCTATTTCGAAATAACAGACGCTGTAGACACAGTTATTTCAAAAGAAAACCCTTCTCTCGAAATAACTGGTAAACCTCATTGTCTGAGGAATACGGGTTATTTCGAGAGAAGGGTTTTCTTTCCAAATAACCACATCTTAACAGCGTCTGTTATTTCCAAATAGCGCCAGAACGCAAATATGCAAATGAAGCGCAACATATTTAAATCCTGGCTTCATTTGCAATGTCAACGTGCCTAATCTACATCCCTTTATCGAAAAAGGCTTGTAGTCTAGACAGAGCCTCAGAGAGACACAGACACACTCACAGAGAGAGACACAAATACAGACACGCTCACAGACAGACACATTCACAGAGAGAGACACAGACACGAATATACAAACAGAGACACAGACAGATACGCTCACAGAGAGAGGCAAACACACAGACACAGATACACAAACACAAATACACACAGACAAATACAGACACGCTCACAGACACATTCACAGAGAGACATGCAGACACCAATATGCAAACACAGACACAAATACAGACACAGACAGATACACGCACAGAGAGAGGCAAACACAGACACACACACTCACACACACACACACACACTCACACACCGATGTTTCTATTGTTCCCAGTGGGTGGTGGCTCGAGTCAATACAGTGGCCGGTTGGATGGACCCTGCGTGAGGGGCCGGGCTCTGTGGCCTGTGAGCCGAAAGGCCAAGGCAGGGCTGACCCCAAGCAGCGAGGGCAGCCCCCATGTTTAGACTGGAAAAGTCCCATGTGGGTCTGTGGGCGCTGCAGGGCCAGGCTGCAGCCTTTCGTCCCTGCGCGAGGTTCCCCGGTTCCCCGCATGGCGCTTGTCCGGTTCCATCCCTGTCTCCCGCGGGTCTTGCGCTTACGTGTCTCCGCCTGAAAGGCCAAGGCAGGGCTGACCCCAAGCAGCGAGGGCAGCCCCCATGTTTAGACTGGAAAAGTCCCATGTGGGTCTGTGGGCGCTGCAGGGCCAGGCTGCAGCCTTTCGTCCCTGCGCGAGGTTCCCCGGTTCCCCGCATGGCGCTTGTCCGGTTCCATCCCTGTCTCCCGCGGGTCTTGCGCTTACGTGTCTCCGCCTGTCGATGCCGCGAATTTAATTCTAGCGTCCGGCACAAGGATGCTTCCTGCTTTCCCTCGGGGCTCCCGCTTCTTCGGCGTTCCCTGTGGCTTTCACACTTCCCCTTAACTCTGCCCACGCCTCCACTCACGCCTCATAGTGCTGCTAACCTCGACCCCGGCCCCCGCCATACCCCCGACCCTCGCCCGGACTCGCATCCAGCAGGCAACTGGCCCCGGGTGTCTGGGGTGGGGGGGCAGTGAGGGGCCCTGCTCTAAGGAGCCACCTCGGGCACCGTGGCCGGAGCCGTGTCTCACGTGGCTCCCCGTGCTCCAGGCCAGCACACCTTCCAGTACGCCTACGGCTGCTGGCTGCCAGCGGACGGCAGCTCCTGGGGCTTCCGGCGGTACGGCTACGACGGGCAGGACTTCCTCTCCTACGACACCCACACCCACAACTGGGTGGCCCCCAGCAACGAGGCCCAGCTCACCAAGGGCAAGATGGAGAGCGACCGGCACCTGAGTCAGCAGCAGCGGGACTACCTGGAGCACAAGTGTGTCGAGTGGCTGCGGACGTACCTGGGCCATGGGAAGGAGACGCTGCAGAGAAGAGGTGAGGGGGCAGGAACCCCTCCTCCGGGAGGCGGGACCCCCTCCCCACCCGTCTGACACTGACTCCATTCGCCCAGGGCTGGCGTACGGTGCAGGAGCCCTAGGGATCAGCTGAGCCTTTTGGGGGCTCCCCCTTCTGTGCTGTCAGGGTGGGGAGACCCCCCCCAGTCAGGGCCCATTGCCTCTGCCCCTGGAAAGCGAATAAGGAAAAGTTATTTACTTGTTCCCATAACAGAGCTAAGGGGCACCCAATGACATGAATAAGCAGCCATCAACCTGTGGAACTCCTTGCCAAAGGATGTTGGGAAGACCAAGGTTCAATAAAGATCTAGATAGATCCATGGAGGTTGGGTCCATTGATGACTGGTAGCCAGGCTGGGCAGGGCTGGGGTCCCTGGTCTCTGTGTGTCAGAGGCTGGGAATGGGGCCTCTGGGCAGACAGGACACTGGGCTGGCTGGATCTTGGGTCTGACCCCGCCTGGCCACTCTTATGTTCTCCCAGAGCGCCCGGCTGTGCGGGTCACCAGCAAAGGCACCCCCGGCGGCCCCTCCACCCTCACCTGCCGGGCCCACGGCTTCTACCCCCGGGAGATCGCCGTGCGCTGGCTGCGAAAGGGGGTGAGCCGAGAGCAGGAGACGTGGCGAGGGGGGGGCCT